TTGCATTTATTATCCTTTTTTCAAAACGAGAAGGTCCCCCTTCTTCTCTACGGCCTGAAAACGAAATATTGAAACAAAACAAAAAATCGAACTCTACTAAGGCATCTATTATTCTTTCTAATAATTATGCATTATGAAGAGCTATTGTAGTTTGTAGTGAAGCAAAACAAGATTTCAATACAATGCAAATGGAATAGAGAACCCAAAACGTAATAGAGAATCCTGAATTTTGTAATTTGCATATGACTGAATGCTACTATTTTTTTTTTTTTTTTGGTTCTAAACTCACAATGACAACAACATGACTAAGATAAGAAACAAAAAACACATAAAGGATCACAAACAACCATATATGTCTATCAATTTCCCAGCAACAACAACAACAAAAAGAAAAGGGAAACGCATAGAAATCCTAATTTCAGAAAACTCACCCCTTGGGTGTCACATCGCAAGGGCTTCCAAAACACACAAATGAAGGGCGAGAGTAACCAAACATAGAGAAAAAGTATTAAGAAATAAGGATAATGCAATGCAAAGGACTCAGGGTGCCAGCTCCGTAGCACACATCGTATGCGAGTACATGCAGTTTAACCCTTTTTATGGAAAAAGGCGATTTTCATACACAAATGTATGCGAAGCGAGAGCGAATGACACAATCTGGGAAAACTAATTGAATTTGATGAAATGGCAGGCTAGTCAGCCTGGCTGGCATCATGGCCCGAAAAAAAGGATACACAATAAAGTGTGGTTTGAAAGGGAAAAGCAATACAGCAAGGAAAACCACCATAGCGCACGCAGCATGTGGATGGAGGAGAACTCGTAACGTAAATGCTGCATGCGATACATGCGTTAGCCCTGTATTCTTACAGCAATGACGACAGCACGCCACAGCACAGCAAATGTTGTAATCGATCTATGAAATGGACGAAAAACAAAAATCAGCACAAAATTCCAATTGGATTAAAGCACGGAAACGCTGCACACGCACGCACATCAACGCATAGACTCATGACATTGAGTTGGAGAGAAACAGTGTTGCCATTTAATGCAATTATTTGTGCACCGAACTATATACATGTTTTTCAGTGAAAACAAAGACAAAATATGATTCAAGATATTTTTGGAGACCGTCCACAGGTCCACAGGTATGCCCGTCTCGCAGGACTTCTTTGAAAAAAAAAAACAAACAAAAAAAACACAAACAGTGAAGAAGTCTAAAGTCGGGAGGGCCGCCTTTATGACCCCTTGGCATATTTAGTAGAGTTCATATAAGAAATAAAAATATATATCAAATCTGATGAACAATATACAGGGTGAGATAAAAACTGCAACAAAGTCAAACGCTATAATTTTTATTTTTTTTTTTTTCTAAATTTATTGATTGAAACCAAAGAATGCCGGAAATAGCATCAAATTTTAGAATACGTTTAGTTTTGTTCGAGTTGATCACCTTTGACACGAATTATGGCCTTCAAACGGCCAATGAAACCGTCACACGCTGCCCAAATGTTGCTCTGCGGTATTTTGGCCCATTTCCGTCGAAGCGCTTGCTTGAGGTGATCGACACTTTGGTATTTTTTAGTGCCAACCTTGCTTTCCAGAATACTCCAGACACAATAGTCCAACGGATTGGTATCCGGAGATTTTGGTGGCCATTGTGCGCTAGAAATGAAGTGCGATGGTGCTGAGTCCTGTTGTAAAGTCCAAGGTCTACGGCCGAAATATTTGCGTGACCAAAGCTTTAAAACACCCTCCAGAATATGTTCGTGATAATATTCGGCGACGGTCGATTCTGTTATGGCGGTCCACACCATCACCATGGCCGGCGCTTGAGTTCTGGTGGCCAACCGAAAGTGCACATTTTTAGCTGACTTTTTTGGCAAGTAAACGCGATTATTTTGTTTGTTTACAAACTGCTGAAAAGCGAATGTTTTCTCATCGGAGAAAACCAAATCGGCAGTTCACCACTTTCGACCAAGCGAAGTATCTCTTTAGCTCTTTTAAGTCTATTTTCTTTCTGTTGCGGTGTAAGTTCTTGCACTTTTTGGAATTTCAATGGCTCATTTTTCAATATTTGCCAAATGGAATCACGGTAACAAGCGATAGTACGAAACACAAAAGATTTATTCATATTTCAATGCTGGAGTGCTCACACTATCACGCTTGAATTCCATCACGAATAACTGTTTTTCTGGAAAAATTCTCAACAAAATGCTTTTGTACGCGTGTAAACAATATAATGAGCTGTCACTGGAATAATTTTAACAGCTGTCGGACGAGTTGTTTAGAAATGACAGCAGTCTGAATTTGGTTGCTGTTTCATCTCACCCTGTATACCCTCTGTAGCCATGTGGCTGAGGGTATAAAAAATCAAGAAAAAAGCAGCTAAGTTTGGCCGCGCCGCAGGTTGCAGTACCCATTACGAACTTCAGCTACGAAATTTGAAACAATTCCGGTGAATAATGTCGCTGAAATCAGCAAAACACCGAATATAGGGCGGTACCATTATATGGGGCCTATACGAAGACATGGAAGAGCATAGACAATTTTCTGTCATAGACAGAAATACCCATTAGGAATCTGAAACAATTCCGATGAATAATGTCCCTATAATTATCCAAATATCGAATATAGGGAGGTACAGTTATATGGGACTATAACTAAACGTGGACCTATATATCCCATTTTAATACCGATTCCAAAAGTCCTGCAGACGAAAACAAATACAATACATGCATAAAACAGCAAATTATTAGTTACTATGAAAACAAGCTATCGCAGAAAATGATTTCCGAGAAATATTTCATAAATATTTCTGTGATTTCTCGTATACTAAGTCGGTTTTATGAAACTGGATCAGTAGTAACAGTCTATAACGAATGAAGGCCGTGAAAAGCTTCAGCCCGCACTAATCAACAAATTGTGAGAGAAGTAAAAAACAATAATTTAAGAGTTCAACTGAATTGGTGAGAGAGTTATCATTGGATATAAGCTCGAGATCAGTGCGTAGACGAGTAGTGGCAGCTGGTCTGCATGCCCGTAAGCCATCAAATAAAGCCATTTATATCTGAAAAATCGGAAAGCCACGATGGCTTTAGGAAACGATAATATTAATTGGATTCCAGACTAATGGAAAAACATTTTATTCTGGGATGAGTCTACGTTTAATATTAAAGGCTCAGGGTCGAAAATGGCGTGGCGCTGTTTTTCTTTCTATGGACTTGGGTCTGTCCATGAAATAAAGGAAGTTATGGATCGGTTTGTTTAAAAAAATGTGTTGGGCATCACGTTGTTCCCTTTCGCTGAGGAAAATATTCAGCTTATTCGGGTGTTTCAGCATGAAAATGATCCCAAACATACATCAAAACTTGTCAAATATTGGTTGCGGGAGTCAAAAATTGGTATTTAGTCTTGGGCGGAACAATCATTTTACCTAAACCCCATAGAAAACCTTTGGAGTATCGTAGACTGGAAGATCAAGCGAGATTCGGAAACAAAAAAAAAAAAAAAAACACAACATTTTGCAAAAAAATCAGGGTGCCTGGGAAAGCATACCCAAGGATCAAATTGAGCGTGTTATAGATTCAATGCCTCGTAGGTGTGCAGCTGCTATCAAAAATAATGGTTATGCTATCGACCAGTAGCCAAAATTTAATTATTTTAAAATAAGAAATAAAAAGATGCTTTAGTTTTGACCAAGCAAAAATTGGGTCATTTTAGTTTTCCATATATAATTTTTCATTCAAAATTGTTTTCGTATTTTTATTTTTAGTTTTTTTTTTTTTTAAAGTGAATAAAGTATCTCATTTAAAACTGGAAAATTTGTTTATTTTTGTAAGAGTTAAAGGGCATTTATTGTCTTTGCGGTTTTAGTTGTTTTAGTTTTTGGTCACCAGTGTACATATTTTGTGGGCTTTAAAATGTATAATTCGAGGTGTTATAAACGGAATGACAAACTTAATATACCCTCCATACTATGGTGGGGGGTATAAAAACCCTGAAAAGTGTTTGTTATACTACAGTTCCTCCCTTAACCGATTTAAACTTGTCAACCGGTCTTCATGACACACTCATGATTGAATTTATAAAAATATTCCTCTAAATTTGGCAACTCTATGCCGGTGGCTTCAATGAGAAAGGGGAAATGCAAATACAGCAATAAACGAAAACACAAATTCTGCATTTGCAGTCCATGATATGGCTTGCCATACTCTTCGAGAGCTTAAGCGAACTTCGGGTTTGCAGCACTCATACATTCGCATGTACTCAACTAAAACAAAAAAAAAAAAACAGAAACTGAGACAGAGAGAGTGTATCTCACAGATTTATTATTCGCGAGAGCACACATGTTCGTTTGAGATACTACAGTGAGAGTAAAGTGTTGTGTTTTGTTTTGGATTTCGTTTTGTTACTGCGTTCGTTCGTTCATTCGTTGTTCTCCTTGTGTTGGGGGGACAAACCGAATGAATGGTTGTTTGGGCTTTTTTCGTACACAACACAAGGGATTTGCAATTTTCTGCTGGCATCAATGCGACAGCGCTGCCGCTGATTTCTAGTCTTTGGTAAACACAATAATGTTGCGCTTCCTTGGCGCTCTTTCTCTCTTGTTTTCCGGCTCTCTATGACGGCTCTGCAGGCTGTCGTTTTTTAGCGCCTATTATTTGAATTAGAATTTTGTTGTGTGATGACTGACTGCGTTTATGTTGTTCGAATGGAAACTTTGTGAACGAACGAATCTTCGGCTCTCTGTGAGTAAAGCTAACGAGTGCGTCTGCGATATGGGGCTACAAATGGCATTTACTAACAACAGCAAGAACTACAATAGTGGGGCAGCAGCATATTAAAATGCGCTCTTTGCATTTTTTCCGTTTTGAGAATGAATCGCTGATGATGATGAGTGGTGTTTGCTGCTTCGCTGCGCCTCTGTTGACAACACTTGCGTTTGCCTTTTTCTACTCGCCGTCAAGTTAAGTTAGTGGTGTGCCGCTGCCTTTGTTGTTGTTGTTGTTAGTGCTGCGCTGTACTGTATGCGTGTGGCTGTGTGTGTGTGTGTGCTTCTATTGCTGCGATTGCCACTACCACTGAACTGACTCTGGTTGAGTATTTGCTGAAAGCAAGCTGGCAAGCAAGCCGTGAGTGACACAACGCAACGCAGCCAAAGCATACAGTGGTTTTCGGTGGTTGGTGGGCCAGAAACGCAATTCACAAATTTCATGTTCGTCTATTCGGACCTAGGTTTCGGAGGTGCTCGCTCGCTCGTCGCAGTGTGTGCACTATTACACGTCTCGTAACGTTTTTTCTTAAGTTTTTGTTCAAACCGAAATACAACAAAATAAATTAAAAAAAAAAAAAAAAACAACAACAACACAGCAACATAAAAAAAATCAATTCAATTAACAACAACAAAAAATCCACTACAATAATAAAACAAATTTAAATCAATCAACAAAAATAGTAGAAAAAAACAACAACAACAAAATAGCAACAAAAATTCGACAACAATTCTTTCCACCACACAATAACAACAATAACATTTGCAAAATACCCATTTTCCCCCCGTCAGCAAGAAATGCATTAAACAAAAAATATAAACAAAAGGAATTTTATTTCGAAAAAATAAGAGAAAACAATTTTTTGTATGGAAATTGAAAGAAAAATATAAAAAAACAATTTTCCAGAGAATAAAGAAAAGCAAAGGAAATCAAGAAACATCCCTTAAAGCAAGCAAGCAAGCAGTGCAGGAAAAGTGCATCCATCCAGCTAGCTATCAGCTTCTCCTTTGAGGTAGAAGCAGGCATTAAAACACCAACAACAACAAATTGCAAAACAAGCGATTTTGTATGGCAGAAAAAGCGGTAATAATTTTATTAGTTATGAAAAAAATAATAATAATAAAAACAGAGGAGGATTCTCAGTGACACGGCAGAAAAATGAAGTGAGAAGTGGAAAACTTGGTGCAAAAAAAAAAATAAATAAAATAAAAAAATTATTTTAAAATTGTGAACCTCAGATGACAAAAATATTCTAAGTTTTAAATGTCAAACTCCCCACAAGTATTAAAAATATTATTTGTTATGAACATAAAAAATATAAAAAAAAATTGTATTTGTTTTTGAATAAAAAAATACTTAAAAAATAATGATAAAAATTAAAATTTGTTTAAAAATAAAGTAAACAATAACAATTGAAAACAATGGATATAAGATATGAATATAAAAAATTGATACCCTATAAACAAAATAAAACAATATTTATATGTCTGAACGAGTGTCATAAAAATATGAAGAGATTTCAAGAGATAAAAAACTATGTGAATTTTGAAACAATAACGAAAATTTATGTGACATTAGTGATATATAAAATTTATTTTTTCAAGAAAAGAAAAAAAATTGTCTTCAATACAAAAAAAAAAAAAAAAAAATTAAACTGTAAAATAAAAAAAAAAAAAAAAAAATTATATAAAAATGTTCTCATTGCATACCTTGAAAAATACAAATGGATTACCACCAAAGTTTGGATATTAAAATAAGATTCCAGGATGAGTACCCACACCGTTTTTTGAAACCAAAACAAGATTGAATAACAGTTTGGACATTTAAATTGAATCAAATAACAACTCGAAAATTTGGGATTATCGATCTTTCTTTAAGACGCCTTTTTTGAAGTCCTCTTTCAGAGACTTCCTTCTCTGAGTTTCAAAATATTTGATCAATTTTGGCCTTTATACATTCATGTATTTTATTTATACACTTATATATTCAAAATCTGGAATCAATTCTGGACGAGTTTTTTCGTTGAAAGGGGAGTCCTAAAATATTGTTAGATTTCTTGAAAAGAAGTCAGACTCGAAGATGGAGGAAATATTGAAAAAACACCAGTTTTGAAAAGGAGTCGGAAAAAACACAGAGTATTTTGAAAAAAGTCAAATGTCGGGCGGGGGCCGTCTATATATGATACCCTACACCACTATGCATATTTAGTAGAGCTACCCTTAACAAACGTTTATATTTGGGAATTTATGTGTTTTGAAGAGCAGTTATGATTTGGAATCAGAGGGATATAATATATGGGAGGTACAAACACCAATTCTAAAAATTAAATAAATCAGGAATCGGATAAATATAGGAGCTATATCGAAATCTAAACAAATATCTTAACATTTGACAGAGGTACTTCTGAGCTGTATAAAATATCGATTAGCAAATATTATTATTGTGGAGTGCGTATTACGGAAGTGAAGGACTTAAACATCAAATCGGATGACACATATACATGGGAGGTATAGCTCTAAACCGATTTTCAGAAAATTTGACATGTTCGCTTTTGGATAAATCTGGTCGCATGTGTTAAGTTCCATTCTATTTGGACTAATATTACACATATGGCGCCCAATAAAACATAAATTGGATAAAGATATCTACTTGAACTATATCTAGATTAGGACCGATTCTCACCAATTTCAAGAGGGTTCGTCCTTGGGCCACACAAATGATTTGTGGAAAATTGCATTTCAATCGGACAATGAATGCTTCTTGAACTTTGTTTACAAAAAATATATCGATAAATGGTCGGACAAACGAATATGCATAAATCTCTTTAGAATATGAGCCTATGAAGATCAAAAACAGGAACTACGGGTCAAATTCGAATTGATTTTGATTTTCTAATAGGTGAAACTTTTATGTCTCTTCCCGGAATTAGGTACATACCGCTTAAATTGTCAATAACTCAATCTAATTATGAACTATGCAATTCTCTTCGATCTTTTTGTGAGGAATCCAAGAAATTATCTGAACCCTATCATGTCATACAAAACAGGAACCAAATCAGCAGAAAAGTATTTCTATATAAAATAGCATAATTCAAAACTTTTATAATCACTTGAAAAGACTTCTTCAAATTTCCCATATTAGAATGAAGACGGTAAAGTCATTTCAAAAAAGCATATCCATCTCAGCATTTGTTGCAACTTACCTTGCCAAATTACTCTGTATAGAAAAGTTGTTCCCATCTCTGATTTGTGTATAAACTATGATATTTACAAATTTACAAACATTTTGACAATGAAATGATGTCAAATGACATTACCTTTTTAATTCTATCAAGAAACTTTCTTATATCCGGTATTGCCATATTGGTTATGTTAAAAATGGTTTACAGTTTTTCTTCCTTAATTATTGAAAAAAGGAAACTATCTACATTTTTGGCTTGAATTACGCCATAAGAACGAAGTTCAAATTGCTAAAATTGACCTTTCGGATCGAATTTGAAATATTGGAACTTGCAGTTTTGATAAACCCCATTGCTGATTTTCCTTGTATTTTTTCTTATAATGTTAGATTTTGTAATAAATGAATATACCTTCGATATAAATATAACTGTTATAGGCAGGGCGTTTAGATATTTTTTCAATAAACTATTTATTTTTGATGGGAGTCTTTGATTCCCAGAATTTACGGAATCGAAAGCCAAAATCGAAATTTTAAAATACAAGATTTTGTTTTATAAATTAAATAATTCGTTAATAAATTTTCAAATACCAAAAGTAAGTTATGAACAAACGAAATAATTTGACAAAAAAAGAGAAACAATTCAAATTACAATTGTAAATAAAAATAATATCAATTTCTAATGCTGTCTTCATATTACAAATTTCTATATTAATTCTCACAGCTATAATTCGTAATATGTATTTCAGCAATATGTATTTTCAACTAATTCGATGTTTCTTTGAAATTCGATTTTTCCATTTGTATTTCCAATGTATGTATTTTAGTTTATAACTCGAATTTGTTTTGCAATTTAAATTTTTCGATTTTAATATATTCTTTTTTTTATTTGAGTTTCAAAATGAATAACACTGTTCCATCAATAACTTGTATTTTAAAATTTTTAAAGGAACACATATTCAATGTTCCAATTTTTTAAAATGCTGTTTATAACCTACACCACATAGTGGTAAGGGTATTATGTCTTTATGCATTTGTGTGTAATATGGAGAAGGAAGCGAGATAGACCCATAGTTAATTTTGAGGATCTTCATAGAATCACTTTCTGAGTCGATTTATGCATTTCAGTCTGTCTGTCTGTCTGTCCATCCGTCTGTCCATGTACAAAATGCAGGTCTCATTTATTATCCGATTGAGATGGAATTTCCCAAACAATATTTGTTTGTGCCAAGGACGAAATTTAGATATAGCTCCCATATATAACTTCAACTGATTTCGGATTAATTGTGCATCAAATGGCCAATATCAGTCCAAATGACCTGAATGTTTTGCACATCCGACCGAATTTAGTCTAGAAGCAAGTACATTAAATTTGGTGAAAATCGGTTCTGATATAGCCATAGCTCCCATATATATATGTTTCTTCCGATTTGGGGTGTAAGTCCCTCACATTCGTAATATGCATTCGACAACAATTATATTTGGTACCATATATCAGATACAGCCAAGAAATACCTCTGCCAAATTGTATCAAAATCGGTTCAGATTTGGATATAGCTCCCACATATATATCTTCAAACGATTTCGGGTTTGTTGTGCACCAAGTGGCCAATATCAGTCGAAATTACCTGATTTTTTTCATATCCAACAGAATTTAGTCTAGAAGCAAGTATATCAAATTTGGTCAAAATCGGTTCAGATATAACTATAGGTCCTATATATATATGTTTCATTCGATTTGATCTTTAAGTCCCTCACATTCGTAATATGCATTCGTCAACAATGATATTTGGTACCAGATATCTTGTAGAGCCAAATTTTCCCGAGATCGGCTAAGATGTGGATAGTGCTCCCATATATATTCTCAATCCGATTCAGGTTTATTGTGCAAATAATGGCTAATATCAGCCCAAAATAGAGTGAATTTGGGGTCGTACGTTTTCATTTTGCGGAACTCGCCTCCAATATTTATATATTGAATATAATCCTAATATCATGCACTTTATAGCAATGCTATTTGGTTTAAAAGATTAAAATGTCTCCGTCAAATTTAGTGAAAATCGATTCAGAATTGAATACGCCTCCCATATATTAGATCCTTCTGAAACCAAATGAAGCCAAATGTTGATAGGTGGTATGATCTACTTCAAATAAATTCTTTCGTTGCGGGAGCTCTACTAAGCATATATAGTGGTGTAGGTATCATATAGTCGGCCCCGCCCGACTTTTGACTTTTCCTTACTAACTGCTTATTTTATTTCGAATTTCTCAGAATAAAACAGGAATATTTTGAATTTTAGATGAAATAATTCAGATTCGGAAATGTGAAAATGATTTTTACTCTAACAAATTTGTAAAATAAAAAACATTGTTACCCCTTTAAGGGGTAAGTAACGGTTTTGTAGTCAATTTGTAAAAAAATAAAGAACTAGATTCTTGTATGTCCTGGAACAGAGCCAAAGTCCGCACTCATTTTTCAATTTTAAATTTTTGGACTTTTATGAAAAACTAGAACCTTTTTAGTTAGTTTTGATTTTTTTTTCCGAATTTAGTTTTTTGGTATTGTTAGAGCGAAAACCCGATCCCTTCAACATTGCAACTCAAAACTAGCTGCTGTTTACAAAATTGGATGCGATTGCACTACTTCACATAAGAAAATTAAAAACAAGAAGAAGCCCCTTTTCCCCTTTTAGCATTGCAGTTTTCAATTTTCAGTTGTCATTTTTTCTTTTCAATCCAAACCCCTGCAATACCAAAAAATCAAAGCAAACAAAAAAACCGAATTGCCGAAAAAAGTTGAATATATACACAACATGCACTTTAGATTAGATCATCAACCCCCTTGGCTGCTGCAATGCCTGCCTATACATATCCTTTTTTATTTATTTATCCTGCACATACATTCACCGCATAAACTGGGGGGAAAACTAAATGAAAATCTTATCAGAAATCTTACTATGAATTTTCCAATGAATGATTTTACATGAATTGGGATTTTTTACAAAACAAAAAAAAAAAAAATAAAATAACAACAACACCACCACCCAGCACCCCATACAAAGAGGGTTGCTTGATTGCATTGCAGTTAAAAATCCAGCTGTTCAACTACTGTAACCGGCTGCCGGCCGTTGCTGCACATACACACACACACGTTTTGAATTCTCTGCAGTGCAAACAAGAAAGCCGGCTTTTTCTTCTTCTTCTTCATAATGTAAACCATGCGATATAGAAATGGGTGGTAGTGGTGGTTGCTCGGTTGCCTGTGAATCCTGGCAAATTGGTGGTAGTTGCAAGGAATCTATGGTGATGATGATGACGAAGACGATGTTGCTGCTGCTGCACAAACGTAACAATTTTTACTTGTATATCCTTTTTCTCTCTCCCTTTCTCTCTATGTCTCTGTTTTCCACAATTATGCAGTATTGCAGTTTTTTGTCCATGGATGCATATAAATTTCCATCGACATGCATGTGTATATATCTGCAAGTGTGTGTATGTGTGTTTGGAGGCAAAACACTTGGCTCGGGTATGATGACATGGACTGCAAGTCACCATCGAAATTATGTTTGGTTCTTTTTTTTTGATTTCATTGTGGATTTTATCGTTAACCCAGTGAACATTATGGGGAAAAAATGCAAAGTAGTTTCTAAAAAGCAATTTTTTTATATAATTTAGGAACCTTATTGGGACGCCACAATTTTCGTAAAATGTCAGTGGTTCAATGCCAGACAAGAAAATCCACTGTGGAAATTTCTGGTCAAAAAGAAGAATAGTAATGCTTTAATTCAGTTCTTTAACCGAATATCGGAAGATATCGCTATAGCCTCCATATATTTGGAAGACGTAGACATATATAGAGAATGTTCTGTAACATATGGTAGAACCCAATGCGAGTTCGAATTCCTTTAGAAAATGTGGATCAAATCGTCAATATACCAAATACAGTTATATGGGGTTTATATTTGGCCCTGTATAAACCATTTTCCGAACTAGGGGAAGGTATCCATTACGAAGTCTAAATTTGAAATTATTTTGTTGCAAAATATAGCTTACATCTATAAAATAGCCCATATCGAAATGATCTTTCGAACCATTATTCACTGCCGTACTTTTCATTAGAAACAAGTTAAAAAGCTTTAAGTTCGGACGGGCCGAACTTTGAATACCTTCCACCATTTGGAACAAATTTGGCAATTTTCAAATTTGGCCGTTATATGGGGGCTATTCGAAGACGTGGACCTACATGGCCCATTTTCTGTCTTAGGTTGTAGTATCAATTACGAACTTCAAATCCCAAATTTGAAATAATTCCGGTGAATAATGTCGCTTAAATCACCAAAATGCCGATTATATTATAGTGAGGTACCATTATATGGGGGCTAAACGAAAACGTGGAACTGCACAGACAATTTTCTGTCGTAGGCTGTATTATCCGTTACGAACTTTAAATACCAAATTTGAAACAATTCCGCTGAATAAAATAGTTCAAAATTATCAAAATACCGAATATGGGGAGGAACCATTATATGGGGGCTATACCAAAATGTGGACCTGCACAAACAATTTTCTGTTATAGGTTTTAGTAGACCTTCACAGACAATTTTCTGTCATAGGCTATAGTATCCCTTACGAACTTCAAATACCAAATTTGAAACAATTCCGGTTAATTATGTTACTAAAATCATCCAAATACCGAATATAGGGAGGTACCATTATATGGGGGCTATACCGAAACGTGGACCTGCACAGACAACTTTCTGTCATTTGCTGTAGTATCCATTACGAACTTTAAATACTAAACTGGAAACATTTCCGGTGAATAATGTCGCTAAAATCATCAAAATACCGAATGTGGGGAGGTACCATTATATGGGGCGATACCGAAACGTGGACCTGCACAGACAACTTTCTGTCTTAGGCTGTAGTATGCACTACGAACTTCAAATATCAAATTTGAAACAATCCCGGTGAAGAATGTCACTAAAATCATCCAAATACCGAATATAGGGAGGTACCATTACATGGGGGCTATGCGAAGACGTGGACCTGCACAGACAACTTTCTGTCATTGGCTGTAGTATCCATTACGAACTTTAAATACAAAACTGGAAACATTTCCGGTGAATAATGTCGCTAAAGTCATTAAAATGCCGAATATCGGGAGGTGCCGTTATATGGGATCTATACGAAGGCGTGGACCTGCACAGATAATTTTCTGTCTTAGGCTGTAGTATGCACTACGAACTTCAAATACCAAATTTGAAACAATTCTGGTGAAGAATGTCGCTTAAATGATCTAAATGCCGAATATCGGGAGGTACCGCTATATGGGGACTATTCCAAAACGTGGACCTAAATGGCCCATTTTCATACCAAAAGTCCTGCAGACATAATATACATTTGTGTAAAATTTTAATAACCTACTTCATTTTGTTTCCACAAATGGACAGACGATTCTAAATCGACATAGAATTTTATGCTGATCAAGAATATATAACAACAACTTTGTGGGGTCTGAAATATATATTTCGAGGTGTTACAAACGGAATGACAAACTTAATACACCCTCCATACTATGGTGGAGTGTATTAAAAACAGATCTCTGATTTGCTCTTTTTTACTAGCGAGTGAAAAATACTCGCGAGCAGGAGTTCTCACAGACTAGGAGTTGTGCGCGAAGTTTGCTATCCACAATTTTGTTTTATGTTGAGTAGAATCTGCTCGAGCGAATTTTACTCACACTCGCAGAAGACCAAAGCCTATTTGCCCGAGTGGTGTAGAACAGACTTGCTCAAAATATTTGCTTTACCAGGGGTAAGACTCTCTTGCCCTGCCACATCAATGGTAAATAAAAATCGAGAGAGAATACGTTTTGTTTATACTTTTTCAGTCGAGGTGGCTTTTAGCCGACATAGAAAAATAAAGAATACTCGTTTTATTTTCTTTTTTCACTCGTAGGAAGAAGAAAACGAAAGAATTTCGCTAATCTCTTTGCAGTCATGTCTTACAACAAAATTTAAAACTAGAATCTGCTTGGATCTTACTTTCACTATGAGCATATTCGCTCATATTCATGGGGTGTTATACAATTATTTTTTACTCGATCTCCTTTTTTTACTGCCGAGAGAATTCAAGCGATTTTTCCTCTCTACTCGAATGTGAGTGAGAATTCCAAACCTCTGTTTTTTAATTGAAATTAGAGCTTATTTTCTCAACTTCTCTTCTGTCTTGTATGCTATCCACAATGTATGCTGGGTTATGTTTTATTCGAAACTTTGTACTGCATGTGTATTTTTTTAGTTCGTGTGCAAGTGTTTTTATTCCTGCCCTGCCCTGCTATCCATATTCATATTTAATTTAATGGACTCTAAAACCCCTAATCATCATTAACAACAACATCATCATCATCTACGTAGTTGCTGTTCTCACCGTTGTATTTATTATCATACGTTGCCCGCCTTGCATGCGGCTTATTTTGTTTTGTGACTTTCTTCGGTGGAGAGTTGGACATGGGGTTTGCTACGATTCAATGAAACCCGTGGTGGAGAAAGAGAATGAGAAAATATAACTCACAGATATATCACAGCAGAGAAGAAAACAAAAAAAAAACAGATAACTATGTGGCATGCAATGGGGTTGTTTTTCAAAGTTTTGTTTTTTTTTTTTGCTTTTGTATTGTGATTTATTTCTCTTGCTTGGGAAATAATGAAAATTTGATTTGTTTTTGTTTGTTTAGTTAGTAAAATTTTCGGTCATGCAGTTTGGGTTTGAACAGATTTGCAATGTCGCTCTATTTTATGGGGTATGAAGAGAAGAGATTTTGAGAGAGCAGAGAGTAGTGCATCCGATGCGACGCTGAAAAGAGAAACTTTTAGTAAATGATTATTAATTAGAGATTTCAAGATCAATTCTTCTCTAACTGATCCGTTTCTGACCAGTTTCAGCTGTGATAAAACCAAGTTTGGACACTTTCCCAATACCGATTTTTTTTTTATTTTTTTTTTTTTGTTTTTTTTTTCACTCTATGCACTGAGAAAATTCGTTTTTTCACTTAAAAGAATATTTCACTATTTAATTTTTATATAAAAAATTATTTCATAAAATGTTTTTTTTTTTTATTTTTTGCAGATAATTATACCCTTTCTCAGCGGCATCCAAGTGACAACAAAATGTCAACGGCAATGCATTATCAATTAAGCAGAACAACAACTGCCCATGGAAATAACGCCACACGGAAACAACAAAAAAATTTGAATCGTACGCAAAAACCTAAAATGGTTGTAATGTGAAATTTAAAAAATTAAAAAAATGAAACATTTTTGGCATAAAAATTAACAACAAAATTAATTGGCTTAAAACAAGGCAAACAAAAAAAAAACGGAATCTTTCGGTAGAAAAAAAAAACAAGTTTGGCTAAACTCAAAAGTAAATAAAAAAAACAAAAATTTTTGGCATATTTTGGTAAAAAAGAAAAAAATTAATTTAAAAAATCCAAAAAAGTGTAAAAAAACCCAATTTTGTAAAATAAAAAAAAATTCTTTTTCGGCATAAAAATATTATCACACACAAAAATATTCATTAATTTACCATAATTATGTAATAACATAAAATACAACAAAAAAATTAAACATTATATCAAAAATATCTATTTAAAATAAAAAATCATATAAATTATCATATTTATCATCTAAAAAAAAAACAAAAAATATTATCTTAATTAAAAAATTAATGGAAAAATATAAATTTTTAATGTAACTTTTAAATATATTCTTTTGAAAAAAAAAAAACAAAAATCTCGTCTAAACCGCCAAAAGGATGACGACCACATAAGAGTGTAATTAAATAAAAATCAAATAAAATTTTGTTTTGAAAATTTCGAAATATTCAAACAAGCAAGTTACAACAATCAGCGAAAAACTTTTCACAACAAATTGGGAACTATTTTCAAAATTATTGGTTTGGACACACACAACAGCAAACTTTGAACACACAACAATAGTTAAAAAGTTTGCTAGAAAAATTTCGTTTCGATCTAAAAAAAATCAACAACAACAAAAAAAAAAAAAAACAACCCCCCCCCAAAAAACGTAAACAAAAACTTTTTATAAAAAATTAAAAAAAATATATATTTTCGTGTAAAAGAAAATATTCAACGTCATCATCAACAAAAGAAATTCGAATAAAACCAACAGCGAGGAACTCTTTCCATTGAAAAAGGTAAGTGGGGATTAATTTGAAAATAAAAAAATTGAAAAAAAATAAAAAAATTTTCTTAAATTGCAACAGAAAAAAATATATACCGGGGAATTCCAGCAGATTATGAAAGTAAAGCTTAGAATAATAGACGTTTTGACGATTTACATGACCAAGTAGCGTAAATAGAGGGGGCAAGGTCCGCTCTCTTCCACATTTTTTTTTTTTTGATATTTTCAGATTAAGATTCCTTGGATTCTTTCCTGTTGATGTTAGGTTTATAGTGTCCTTGGCAATATTGAAGACAAGAACACGGGGAATTTTGGCCAGAAACTTTAACCCTAAAGCGAGTCCACAAAGGGGGTTTTTTGGTTGAAAACAACGTCCAGATGAAACGGATGTAACTAGAATTTTGTAATTTCGCACAAGGATTTTGGGTTTGGGAAATTCATACTAAAAGCGTACGAAAAGTACTAAAATGTACTACTTTATTTTCGACAAACGGAATGAGCCAAAATTCTGAAATTTGGAATGAGAGTCCCTAATGGAGTGCAAGACAGGTGTAGCCAAGGGCATATGTTGGTGGTATCGGAAATGTGTACCATACAGGGTGAGATAAAAAAAAACTGCAACAAAGTCAAAATCCATATTTTTTAATTTTTTTTTTTTAAATTTTATTGAGTGAAAGCAAAAAATGTCGGAAATAGCATCAAATTTTAGAAGCATCAATTGTTCGAATTGGCCACCTTTGGCACGAATTATGGTCTTCAAACGGCCATTGAAACCGTCACACGCTGCCCGAATGTTGTTCTGCGGTATTTTGGCGCATTCACAGCTAAGTGCATGCTTGAGGTGATCGATACTTTGGTATTTTTTAGTGCCAACCAAGCTTTCAAAAATACTCCAGACACAATAGTCCAATGGATTAGTATCCGGAATTTTTGGTGACCATTGTGCGCAGGAAATGAAGCGAGGAACCTCATTTTCTAACCATTCTTGGGTGGCGCGTGCTGAGTGCGATGGTGCTGAGTCCTGTTGGAATGTCCAAGGTCTGTGGCCAAAATGAATATTTTCGCGATAATCCAGAATATTTTCGCAATAATATTCGGCATTTATTCTGATGTCACGGTCGATTAATACGAGCGGAGAGCGACCATCGGCTGTTATGGCGGCCCACACCATCACCATGGTCGGCGCTTGAGTTCTGGTGGCCAATCGAAGTTGCACATTTTCAGCTGACCTCTTTGGCAAGTAAACACGATCATTTAGTTTATTTACAAACTGCTAAAATTAGAAAACCTAATTCGGCAGTTCACCACTTTCGGCCGAGCGAAGCAACTCTTTAACTCTTTTGAGTCTATTTTCCTTCTGTTGCGGTGTAAGTTCTTGCACTTTTTGGAATTTCAATGGCTGTAACCCGAGCTCATTTTTCAATATTTGCCGAATGGAATATTGTCATATGTTCAGCTCACAAGCCATTTTTTGGCCACTGCGACGTGGGTCGCGGGTCAAGTCGCTTCTTTACTTTTCGAACCATTTCTGCCGATGTTGCCGTTTTCATCCGTCCACTTCTTTGACGTCGGGATACGCTACCAGTATCACTTTGTACGAAAAGTACTTAATTTTGCATTGGGTGAAGGAATAGAGCGAAAGTCCTGAAATTTGATATGAAGGACATTGTGGGTATCTGTTTTTGAGGGAAGGAGCTGGATATGCAATTATAATTATACTAAATGGTACTAAATTTGGTATCTGAGGTTGAGATTAGGAGGTGGGTTTTCAAATACGTACTATAGTTGTTCGAAAAGTACTTAATGACACCAAATTTTGCATAAGTGTAGTGATATGTTCGGAATCCTCAAATTTTGATATTGAGGTCTCTGTTGGTATGTGGTATTTGTATATGGAGATGGTTTTGGAAATGTCTTCTATAATTGTACAAAAAGTACTAAATAGTACTACACTGGGTATTGGGTGAAGGAATAGGTAATAGCTAAAATCCTGAAATTTGATAAGGATATCATTCTTGGAGTCTGTTTTAAGAGAATGAGCTAGATGTGCGTTCTATAATTGTACTAAATTTGGTAATGGGATAAACTAAAGAGATGAAATTCTGAAATTTGATGGAGATTTTGGGTGGTTTCGGAAATGTGTACTATATTTGTACGAAAAGTACTTAATGGCACCAAATTTTGTTTTGGACGAAGGGATATGTTTGCAATCCTCAAATTTGATATTGTGGGTCTCTTTCGAATCAAAAATTTTAAGGTGATGAAGTAGCGGGCACTTGTCAGTTATTCATAAAATACATTTTTTTCACCTCAATTAGGATTTCTTAATATTGTCTTCAAAAATATCAACAGTAATGAAATCGATAGTCAAAATTCAGGCGCTATGCTGACCAATTGTAAAGTATCAACATCAAGTGAAACTTAATATTCAAAAAATGTTCTACCATTTTTTTTTTGTATAATTAAATTCACTACAACTTCCCGTAGCCACAACGTCATAATTATGTTATTAATTGTTAATTTTGTTATTTTCTTTAATAATTTCCCTTATTGCGCTTTTGGTGTGCGTGTGTGTGTCGACAATTTGTGTGCGGAAGCCCTTTGCCCAGCAAGCAAAAGTATTACAGCATATTAATAAAAACAATCAATGAAAATAATTTCCAATTCTTAAAATATTAAAACAATATTAAAAATAATGAAAATAATTTCCATTTCTAGGGTAATATTATTAAGAAAAAAAATTAGAAAAAATTTAGAAATTGTTTTCAAGTTTTTGCTTTGAATTTTAGAAATGCAACTTCAGAGAGATTTTAGCGACATTTGCCTACTATTTCCTCTTTTTTTATCAACTATGGAACCGCGATGTTTTCTTCTTCAAGAGTCTGCCTTTAAAGCCATCATATGGCTTGACATCATGTCCGAGGATCGGCAATTGCGCAAAGCAAAAAAAAAAGTTCGCCTCATTGCAATTGCGTTCGACAACTGTACACCAAAAATGTTGTACATAAGTACATACCTACAAACATGTTGTAATATCGCTGCATATGCATGTTATTTTATGACGTCATATAGTAATGACTTGAACAAATGGTTGTTTGTTTCTAATATTTGAAAATTTTACATGGGCCAACTCCTCCTCCTCCTCCGCCCAAAATGAAAACCGCTCTGCTCCCAAATAGTGTTGCGTATTTTTTTCTTTCTTCGTCTTCTTGAAAGTCTCAACGTCTTGCCATAAAGCTGTGTAAAATGCGTTTTTTTATGAATGCTCTTCTGTTTTCTTTGGAAACAAATAAGAAAAAGAAATATTTAGCGGCTTTCTGTTATTGCCACATACAGTACAACAAACATAACAACAACAACAAAACAAATAATATACGCACCAAACAGCAACAACAACAACATGGAAACCTATGCCTCCAAAGTTTCAAATGACGTTATTAACGACAGAGACGCAGCAGTAGAAGGAGGAGGAGGAAGAAAGAAATGAGCTCATTGCGTTAATGTGACCTACTTTTTGTTTCGGTTGCGTTAGATAGTGTCGTTTGTGTTGCTGTTGTTGTTTTATGTAAGTTTTGTTTTTTTTTTTTTTGGGAATTTGGAACATTTACACTGGTATTGGTGGGCAAACGCAACGCATTTTATGTGCATGTGCGTGCGTTTTTTCTGTGTCAGCCAGTATGTACTAAATTATTTAGGTCTATGTCGAGTCGCCGACGACGATCATCAGCAGCATAACACACGCACGAACGACCGAGAATGAATGCATGCAGTCAGCCGGTCTGTCCATACCCAAAAAATCTTGACAAATGCGTCGTAGCCAACGAAAATACAACCCCTCTTTAGGCACGGCACCAAAATGTTCAAATACTCGTTGTTTATGCGTCGTTTTTGCTTTACCCTACCCTTGAGTTAAAAGTCCATCATTGTGCTGAATGAATGAGGCAAGCTTTATTTGCGTATTTTATTCTACTGCCACTTGTATACATGGAGTTCTTCAAAGAAGAAGTACATGAAATCATATTTTACCAAAGATCTTTTTTTTAATTTTCGACTCCTTACCCAGCAAAAACTTGGGAGCCGGATAACCCATTATGTTGTAATGTAAACAAATGAAATTGCATATTCTCTTCATTACCAAACCAATGAATTATTCCTATAAACTTTACAAGCCAAAATAAATTACATGTACCATACTATGTAATGGGCAACGAAGCAAAGTGAATTGCTCCGACTAAAACATCTTATGTCGCTGATTTGAATCTCCGAGCCAGAAAACAAGCATTCAAACAAGTAAAAGAGCTGTAAGTTCGGGCGGGCCGAACTTTTAATACCCTTCACCATTTGGTACAAATTTGGCAATTTCAAAAAAAAAAAAAAAAAAAAAAATAAAATAAAATCCGTTAAAAATTTTGTTAAAATCTTAAAAATACCGAATGCTTATACGTCGACGAGGACCTGCATAGGCAACTTTTGTCATAAGTTATTACAATATTTAAATGCGAAACTTGAAGAAAAATCTGTTTATAATGTAGCTAAAATCATCAAAATTCCGAATATGGGCGGTACCGTTATATGGGGGCTATACTGCACAGACAATTTTCTGGCATGGGCTGAAGTATCCATTATGAACTTCACATGCGAAATTTGAAACAATTCCGGTAAATAGTGTCGCTAAAATAATCAAAATACCGAATATCGGGGGGTACGGTATATGGGGGCTATATGAAGACGTGGACCTACATGACCCATTTTCTGTTTTATGCTGCAGTATCTATTACGAACTTCAAATACCAAATTTGGAACAATTCCGCTAAATAATGTCGCTAAAATCATCAAAATACCGAATATCGGGGGGTACCGTTATATGGGGACTATATGAAGACGTGGACCTGCACAGATAATCTTCTGTCTTACGCTGTAGTATCCATTACAAACTTCAAATGCCAAATTTGAAACAATTCCGGTGAATAATGTCGCTAAAATCATCAAGATACCGAATATCGGGATGTACCG